ACTAAGGTATGGCTTAGTTGTGTGGGTAGAGTGCATATAGAAATACTGAATTTTCTATCATTGCATGTGATACTTGTAACTTGATTTTTACCGTATTGAGTTATGTGGACTCACTCTTTATCATTAACAGATGAGATAGGGATGGAGTCGGAAACAGAGTTGCTAGTTTTCGAGCCTAGTATATAGCGCAACGGGCAAGGATTCTTGTTGTGGGCGGAATAGAGTCTATAAAAATTTATAATAGTATGGACAATGTATGCTGGAAGTGTATGAGATTGTATTACTTTATGAGGTATACGTAGGATTGCATGTTTATCTTGATTTTGAATAATGAATTGCAGAAGGGTTTCTAGGTGTGTGATTGATTTAAAATGAGAATTTTGTGTTGGTCATTGAATTGTCTTAGACTGTACCGTTAAAAAAAAAAAGGGCGTTACAAATGAAGGGCAAGTCTGCCATTTAACTAAGAGCCTGTACGGCCTGAAATAAGCAGGTCACCAGTGGAACAAGGAGTTTACTTCAAAGCTCCAATTCATCGATTTTACCAAGTCAGAAGCCGACCACGATCTATCACAAAAGGAACAAAAGGAAACTATGTTGCAATTGTGGTATATGTGGATGACTTACTTGTTATAGGTCCTAACGACGAAGAGATTTGTGAAGTCAAAAGTGCCATAGATGAAGCCTTCACGGTCAAGGACCTCGACCAAGCAAGATACTTCCTTGGAGTCGAAATAGCTAGGTCAAAAGAAGCAAAAGAAAATACATTAAAGACATTTTAGAAGATACAAAGATGGAATATGCAAAAAGAAGCCACTTTCTCATGCCTTCCGGACTAAAACTAAATGCAGAAGAATGAGAAATCTTACTAGATTCGAAGAGATACAGATGTCTAATCGGGCCGCTTGCTCTACCTCAACTTTACCAGACTCGACATAACATACTCCACCCAACATCTCAGTCAGTTCATGCAACAGCCCAAATGACCGCATCTCGACGCCGCACTACATGTTGTTAAATATCTAAAGCAATATCCGGAGTAAGGCATCTTCTTCCCAAGAAAGAATAACCTTAAAGTTCAAGCCTTTTATGACTCAGACTGGACATCGCGTCCGATGACCTGCAAATCCCTCACGGGCTTCTGTATCTTCCTCGGGTCAGCACTAATCTCCTGAAAAATAAAGAAACAAACTATGGTGAACAAGTCTTCAGCAAAAGCTGAATACAGAAGTATGTTATCCACAATATGTGAAGTTCAGTGGATAACCTATCTCCTTCGAGATTTTTAAATAGTACCTCACTTACCCGTAATACTGAATTGCAACAACAAAACTGCCAAGTATATTGTAGTAAATCCAGTCTTTCATAAACGAATGAAGCACCTAAACATCGATTGCCACATAGATCGCAACCAGGTACAAAAGGGCTTTGTCAAAATGAAACACGTCACCTTGAGAGAACAGCTCGCTGATCTGCTCACGAAATCTTTAGGAACCTCAGCACATCACCAACTTCTGTTCAAGATGAAGCACCTGCAACAAGAAAGCACAAAGGGTTAAAGAAGTGGTGGTGAGGAACTTGAAGTGTCAAAAAATGAACAAGCTTCATCTTGAGGAGCGGGTGAAAAGAATTAAGTGTAAAAAAAAGGGGAAAAGGCTGAAAGAAAATGGACAGGTAGACCGTCCAGATCAAAACCCTAAAATGAAGGATAAAATTTTTTTTATGTTTTAAAATTGGCTACTGTTGGGGACATCTGGTGGTCTCAGTAGATTGTAGAGACCACCTTCCTCCTTTTCTTTTACTCTCCTGCATGTGTATAAATTTTCAATGCCTCCACACAATAAAAGCAGCAGAAAATTAAAGAGCATTAAAATACTCTATATTCACCCAGTTAAGGGTTTTTACAACGTTTCATTATTATAATCTAAACCCGAAATTAAAATTTTAAGAAAAACAAAAACTTGAATTTGTATTTTGTATTATTTATGTTTCTTACTTACGTTTTAAACATGTTTATGATTTTCCAAAAATATAAATTTTATGTATTTATGTCATTCTCTTGATGATTATGCCGGCAGTTTTCAACTGATCGGACCTTTTAATCTGGCCCATTATTTGGCTACATCATATATAATATCTGTGGTGGGTTTAGTTTGATGTGATGAATTTATTGTCGTTTTGGGTTTTAGCTTTTTGCGTTTCACTGTCAATTGGGAACTCCTCCAATAACTAGTAAATCACTTGTTGAAAGAGTATGAATCACGTATTCATAATATTTAGATTACAATTGGGGTTTTAATATTCATATTACTTTCATTGTTTTGATACAAATGAAGAATCTCCACCTACTAATTGGAAGAAATGTAAAAAATTTGTACCGATACACGATAATATTCAAAGCTTATGTCTTACACACACACATGTATGTATATATATAAATATATTTTTAAGTTATTAATTTTAAAATTAATAAAATCAATAAAAATTTATTTAATATAATGAAATTATTTCGTGATGCTACTAAATGAAATCTTGAATTAATTGTTACTTGTGAGGTATAAAAGGCGATCAAATCGAAATTTTCGGTAATTACTATTTGAATATGCTTGAATGGCCCAACATTCTTAGACTCATATTGTCTTGAAATTTCATTACTGTCTTGGATTCTTGTCATATGAATTCCATCATCGTCTTCATTTCAATTCCCATTATTTTGTTATTTGTCTTAGAAATTGTGAGTTGGATTCTTATATTCCACTCGTTAAGAAATTATTTTTAAGAAAATATTATTCATTAATAAATTAATTAGCAGACTTCACAAATTCATAAAAACAGAGACTGACTGGCTCAATTATTGCTCCCAAAACAGCGACGGTTAAGGGATTTACTAAGCCGCCGTCTCCGTCTCTGCAATCTTCCCGTCGGAAATCAAACCCGTTCCGGCGAACTTCTCCTCCATAATCCTCCCAAGCCGCTCACCCATTTCTGGCTTCAAATAATTCCGCCAGTCACCCACTTTACCTTTCCTAAAATACGCACTATTCGAATAAACCCCCGGCCGATCTTCCCTCTCCCGATCCCCGGTATTCGGCTCGGCACTCCTCAGTTTCTCAAAACTACAAAGCTCCACAACTTTCTCCACCACCCCTTCTTCCTCTTCCGCCGCCTCGAACGGGTATCCCATGAACTCCGCCAGTTTCTTCACGTACGGCAAACACTCTTTCCTCATATCCTCGTACTTAAGAAACAAGAATCTCTCCGGAAATTCCTGGGAAGCTTTCCCAGTAATCCAGAACATGATCAAGGTAAGGTCCGTAAACAGAAATTCCTCTGCAAAACATGTCGAACGCCGACTCTAACCCTTCCAGCTCGCCGTCCGCGGACCTCTCCTTTTGAAGAAAAGTCCAGCAGGAGATGAACGTGTCCCGCGGGTCTCGCCATATGTAAACCATCTTGCAGGAGGAGTCGAGGATGGATTTCGGAAGGGAAGTAAAGGGTATATGAGTGGAGAACAGAGGATTTTTGGGATCAACAACTTGGGGCCAGTTGGGTAAATCGATCTCGATGTAAGGAACGAATTCATGCGGGTTCTTTTTGAGTAAAGGGTTATAAAGGTTGTCAGTGAAGCTAGCTCGGTTAACAATGGCGTAAGTTAGGGCCTTGAGCCAGGTGGTACCAGTTTTTGGGTAGCTGCAGACAATGATGTCGGTGGGGCGAGGGGTGAAGTTTTGTTGAGCGTACATGGCGCCTTCGAGCAGCGGCTGTTGCCACCAGAAGTCTTGGTACTGGTAAAGATACTCCGAGGTTCTCCATCCTTTGACTCTTGGGAGAGTCGAGATGATCTCTCTGTATTCCTTTTGTTTATCCGGGAAGCCATTAATGGCGGCGGGTTCTTGATTTTCTTGGGAATTATTATTGGCTATGGAGGGATTCATGATGGAGAGAAAGATTAAGCTATGGCAGATGGATAGGGTCAGGTCTTCTCCGATTCTATGTATGTATATATACTTGTAATTATGTATATGTGGTGTAAAATCAGAACTGCAGAAGCTGAAGTGCGGGCAAAACCGGTTTATAAAGAGGTGTCTGATCATCGGTAATTAACATATCTTCATAGAAATGGAAGTTATGTGGTGACTTCTAGAAGTGTAAAAATTATGAAAAATAGGTGGAGGATGAAATTGAAAATAATTTTGAAAAAAATGGTAAAAATTTGAATTCGGGAGTATTTTTGAAAGAAAAATCAGAAATTGGGGGTCAAAATATAATTTTAAAAAAATGTACAACGTAGGACTGCGCAGCCAGCAATTCTGACGAATCAGAGCGCGCCGCATGGTAAAGCACGCTGACTCGGTGACGCACGGGAGACCACGTTGGTAATTCGCGTGCCCGCGATCGGACGGTTCGGATTTGTTTCCGCACGCGTGGATGGTCTGAATCCATTCTCTCCTTAGACGCGATCGGACAGTCGCGATTAAACATGATAAACAGTGTAAATTTATTTTCTCTTTAAATGCGATCGTACGGTTCAAATCAAATCGTGATGAACAGTACAGATTCATTTTCTCTTTAAACGCGATCGGATGGTCGAGATTAAACGCGATGGACAACTCAGATTAAAGGGAGGCGAGTATTAATATCTCACTTCATACCGAATCCTAACTCTAGCCGCCAGCCTCCCACCGGAGAAGAAGAACCAGTCACCGGAGAAGGGAGTCGACCACCGCTCCTCGCCGTGCCAGAGCCACCTCCGACTGTCAAAAAAAGTAACAAAAATTTCATTCACTCAAAATTTGATTTTGAACACCCCTATGGCCAAATCAGAATAAAAAACTGACGGATAAGCAGAAAACCGCAGGTAAAGCCCGGCGATGCTGCCGCAGGAAAAAATCAAAAACCAACTCTGATGAGACCCTTCCTGATTCCCGTTTTGTGTGATTTTTCCACCATTGTATTCATCATTCTGTTTTTCACAGGTTGACCGAAGAAAAATACTCAACCGCGAAGGTGAGCCAGTGGAGTCGCCGCATCGAAAAATTCCGTCACCGGTAAGTTTTTATTTTTTTACTTTTTCGGTCAATCGAGACCCCTTAACGTGTTTTCTCGCAACGATGAGTATAAAATCGGTCGAAAACGGCTATTTCGAGGCAAACCGCGGCCGCGAGTGGCGATGCCTTCACTAGAATACGGTGGTACCGCCATGCCATATTTTAAAATTGGCCGAAAAAGAGTTTTAACACTAATTTTTTATTTTTTGGATTATTTCTAGGTACTTGAAGTGCGTTTTAATATCCAAATAAAAATTTAAGAATTCCATATACCACCAGTAGGCGCAGCTAAAAGTTTAGTGTTTCAGATACCGATTCGGATAAGAATCCCTCACCATATTCCCTATTATGGAATTGAAGTCTAATTATAAATAAAACGGTATTTTGCTTAATTTAGAAAACCTTGATAATTAATTATAGGTTACTAATGGAGACGGAACCAGTTATTTATCATTATTTATCTTGTTTTAACTGATTGACTGATTTTACAATTTTAAATGCATAATAATACGCAGGAGTTGGTAAAATGATTCAATTGTGTTTCCTTGATGCATGTATTGCTTGTTTTGCGTGATTCACAATTAAATTGTGGAACTGAAAATTAAATGTAAACAAAAATTGCTTAATTAAGTGAATGAATGAATGGTAGTCTTATTGGATATCATGGGAGATGGTGGACAGACCATGTACATAAGGAACCCTACCGTAAACGTTACCTTATACCGGACGAGGTATCGAGAATTGGTACATTGGCGCTCGTACCAAACGGAGTATGGGGACGGTCCGTTTCACCCTCATACCGGACGAGATATTGAGGGATGATATTTTTGGCGCTCATACCGGATGGGGTATGGAGACGACCAGTTAGTTGACAATATTGAATAAGGGTTCACGCATAGTGGGACATCCCTATGGATCCCCATGGATATTAGTAATCAAATAAAAAGAAAAAGTGTTGTTCTGGTTAATTGAATATAAGATTATGATGTTGTTTGTATTATTACCTCTATAGGTCGGTTTTGAAAATCTTGCTACGGTAAATATGTAATAAATAATTTTATTTATGATAAACGAATTTACTTAAATTAAGAGTTCCCTTAGTTATTTTTATTATTTTTAACAACCTTCATTTCTGTATCGGTGATTAGTGTGACATTCTTACTGGGATAGTATAACTCACTCTTTCATTAACCATTTCAGATTAAGAGAACCAAAATTCAGATCTCGATCCATAAGAGAGTTGCGAATAGGATGCCTAGTTGTTTACTTTTTATTTATTTATTTACTTTTTTGTTTGTTCTTTTATAAAGGTCATTCTCGTAGTTCTATCGGGTATTCTATATTATTGTGTAATGAATGTATATCATAACTTTATTATTTCGTTTTCACATTTAATTTATAATTTACCTCCTTTCAAATTACGAACTGTTACAAATTAATTTTTATTAAATAATATATATAACCATTTTTTGTATTTATTTACATAATAAAAATTCTAGAGTCAAAATTGGTGTGCTATTAGGCGACCTATTTGCTTCCTATGTATATTAATTATTTAACTGAGCTTTATAAATATATATTTTCCAAATAAATTATTTACTGCAATAACTCCATGTGAAAGTTCTTAATTATGTTAGTAAAAAATAAAAATAAAAAAAGGATCTAGAAAAGTGTATTAAAAATTAATATATTCTTTAAAATTTTATATTTTATATTTTCTCAATCAAATTTACTATTAAATTTAACGTTGGTAATAATTTATTTATTTATTTTCTGATCTACTTTTAAGTAATAAATTTGTACCAAGAATCTTAGTAGCACTCTAAATCTTTTTTCCAATCTAATTAAGATTAGGTCACTAATACCATAATTAAAAGGTCCACCCTAGCTGTGAAATATTTGGACCCAGTTCATTATAAACATAATATATAATATATATATCACCATATTTTATAAATATGGTCTGCCAATAAAGTCTCTGTCTCTTTTTATCCACAGTCTGGCTGATGGTGCTCATACCTCTCTGTAGATTTTTGTTTGGTAGGCAATATGATCCACGTTTGTATTAGGTTGGTGGGTTTGATTAATTCATGTTTGTATCACTATTTTTTCCGAGGTAAATATAATTATATAATTTATAAAGCTTATAGAAAATTTAAATCTACGATATAATTAACAGTTTAAAGAAGATCTACAAAGACTTAATTGAAATTAAGCAAGTGAAAAGAAGATTTGTTTGTATGTAAATATTTAATGCTAAATGTTAGTGGAGATGAATAATGTATTTAAGAAAATCATGGATGAGATCTTTATCCAAGTGTTCGCAGATTGATTTTGTTGTTTTTTTGTACGGTGCCAGAAGATTTGGTTCCAGAACCAAGATGCTTCTTCATTCCATCTCACTTGGTAGTTGGACACGTTTTTATAAGACCAAAATCAATATATATATATATATATATATGTATATTGTTATTTGAGCAAATTATAGTTTAATATATGCTTTTCTTCTTTCTTAAATGTTCTGATTAATTTGTGTATCAATTAATTTGATTTCTAGGTGTTAAATACATTATGATTAAAAAAAAATTGAAAGCAAAGATTATATAGTGTAGATTGTTAGATTGAGTCCAAAAAATGTTATAAAAACTTAAAAAATCAATATAGGGTTTGAGAGTATATGGAATTCGAGAGAGGTAGAGAGTGCCTTTATGATACAAGTTAGTCTCACATAATATATTTAATCTGTCACTTTTGAGTAAGATAATCACTCGTCTAGTAAATTCATTCATGGACAATATAATCTCTTTGTCGATCATAGATGCAAATGCGTTAATACTATCATAGTCATTGGAGAACATATGCAGAAGTAAGAGAGTCAAACTTCGAGGATAAGTTTTGAGATATTCATATTCCAAGCTATCTTGAGTCCCTCCATAGTAGCAACAAATTTCAGTGTTCAAAGACGACTTTGGTCAGTATTACACATAAAGTTGACCAATTGTAACTCATGATTATCATGAATGAGATTGCTAGAAATAGCCCTACCACAGCTACTCAAGGTTGATCGTTCTATATTAAACTTGAGGTTAATCTGTAGGAAATGCCAATTGCCCGCCTTAGGGTTATGAAAACCACCACATATGTTAGGATCTTGAATACTTGTACCATGAGCAGTTCGTAACTCCATGGCCAAATTAATACAGTCCATGCTGGAAGGAGCTCTGAACATTTTGTATGTACCATGCATTAATCGTTTATATTCTTTAAATAAGCCAAGTGATGGTTGCAAACATAGATGTGTAGCTGACAATGCCATGATTACTAACTTCTCGTCGAATGTTTGGTTTGATCTACCTATCAAAAAGAAGAAAAAAACACGTTAAGATATTTAGAATTAATTAAATTATTCCAAACTTAACTTGAGGTTAGATAATCCTTAAACGCATGCAAGAGGTTTTTGTTACTCTAATTTGCACCATGAACACTAGTTGTCTTGAGAGAGGTGTCTTTTATTTCTCTCTTCATTAGACATAAGGCAATTAGAAGCAAACAACCATAATAAATGCTTAACATGCTCAAGGACAGGAAGAGCTCAAATGGTCTTCTAATGACTACTAAGTCTAATATCGATTATATCGTTAAGATAGTTACAAGCAGTCTTCTAGTGACTACTAGGCCTATTATGATTATTATATAGTCATTTTACATATTTTACATAAATCTATTTTATTTTATTAGAGATACTATCATTTTTACTTCTATAGATATGAAAAATCTTTATACATACTATATGTGAGAAAAGCACAACAACTTCACCCGAATTCCATGAGCGATTAGGGTGAATATATGACTCAATTGTTCAATCCTATCCTTCGTATTAATTTGGCCAAACACGATGGAACTCAGGGGATAGTTCTAAGCTAGGTATATTTCCAAAACTTAATGGCATAACCATTCTCCATTTCCATCTAATCGTATGTTTAATGAGATTAAGATGTTTATTCAAATTCTTATATGTAGAAGAACTTCTATGAGGTGCCTCTGCAATATCGATCACATTAGTATTAGAAAAATATCTGCTTCAAGGATAGTAGCCAAAGATTCTTTCACTCCAATGATTAACCATAAGTTATTTCAACTTTTGTTCGATGAATCTAAATCTTATTTTATTAAATAATAGTTTGATAACTAACTTTCTTCTCCATTGCTTTTAAAGATTAATTTTTTACTTAACAGTTAGCTAGATAACGGGGCATATGTCAAAGTGGAGGTCATCCGCTTTATCATTAGTAACTAGTGGTAGGGACAATAACCAACCTAATCCATTTGGCTCATCTAGTTCCATGGTGTCATCATCAAGATAAGAGCCAAATATTGGGAACTTTTTCTGAAGGTGATCAAGGGAGGTCATGGCCGAAAGCTCCATCCAAATTTCTGTATATTGTTC